TGACGAGGTTGGAGCGTGTGGTGCTATCCTTGGTTGTTGCTCTGTAGACTCTCAGAATGGTGTGAGGCAGTGGCCTGTGGCCTTTGCAGGTGTACACGAGCACCCAAACTCCATGCATCCATACACTCCTCTTGGGACACACAGGATGCCGCGGTCTCTGTGGCCGCTCGCGAGACGCTGAGGCCCCGAAAGGCAAAGCGTGAGCGGAAGAAGCTGCAGTGGAAGGCCGACTGGGCTGCGGCCAAGAAGCGTTTGATCGAGGAGGGTGTAGAGATACCCCAGAAACTCTGCGCGGTGCGCAAGAGAAGGCATCGTGCCGGGGGGGGTCGAGGCGGCAGGGGCGGCGCCATCGGCGAGATCGGTGGCGCTGCTGCTGCTGCAGACAGTGGCGCCGCCGCTGCTGCTGGTGGAGGGGCTGACGGTGCTGCCGGCGGAGGGGCTGCAACTGGCGGAGGCGCTGCTAGCGGGAGCGCCGGCGCCAGCGGAGACCCGGGCGGCGCTGCTACTGCTGGCCTGGCCGCTGCTGCTGCTGGTGGGGGCCTGGTCGCTGCTGCCGAAGGGGCCCTAGCCGCCACTGCTGCAGGCGGGGGAGCGGACGTCGCCAGAGGCGGAGCCACTTCTACCGGCGGAGGCGCTGGCGCTGGCGCCGCCACAGACCCGCTTCTGCCGCATAGAGATCGCCTCTTCCCGCTCAGTCCAGGTCGTGAGGGTTATTAGGTCAGCCATGTGATCGTGACCCTCACGATGCTGTGGGAGGTGCTCAACAGCATCAACATGGCATGCCGGGGCCAAGTCGCTATGCGCACGGGCCTGACCCTGCCCGGTCGTAGTGATTGATAAGCGTATACATTGGACGGGTTGAGATATCTCGGGCGGGGGCTAGCATGATCGGAATTTGCAGTGCGAGGATGCTGGCGAGAGGGATAGGAACTGCTCTCGATCTATTTATCAATGAACCCCTTGCACGTGGACTTTGTTGCTCCTCGAGTTATTGCCCATACCTTTCCTGCCTGCTTGGAGTGTTAGGTCCTGTCATTTCCTCCAGTCATACTAAACACACCCTCCTCTCCTCTTGCAGGCCCTCTGTGCGCTCGGTTTTTACGCCGAGGACCTTACCCCGGAAGAGTGGGTCGCTCTGGGCGGCGTTTTGATCGATCGGCAGGAGGTCCAGCGCGATGGGGGCCTCACAGTGCACTTGGGATGGGTGTACTGCCACCAACAACTCGATTTTGAGAGGGTTGAAGAGGGCAGCTGGCGGTTCAGCGGCACCTGGGAGACTGACGGCTACGCCGTCAGCGCCAAGATGCGGCGGCCCAGCACCGACGTCACCCCATCTCTCCCGCGCTTTTGCC